GAGGTGATAGGAAAAAGAGATTGCCGATCTGCAAAAGTGGGATGGCTTAAAGGCAAAGCTGCCTTTATCCTCCTGATGGGAGGTGATAGGAGAAAGAGATTGCCGATCCTCAAAGGTGGGATGGCTTAAAGGCAAAGCTGCCCTTCTAGAGGTGTTAAGATAGAAAAGGAAAGTGGGGTGAAACACTGATTTCTAAGGGAACATGCCTGGGATCAAAATCTCAGGTGATTCCACTCAGTCCACAGCTCAAGCCTGCCCGCAAGTTTAAGAAATCGGTGACCGCTCTAAGAGCATTTAACTGGTCGTTGCGTTACCGATTTTTGTATTAGAAAGATGTATAGATAGGAGGTCTTCTCTACACCCTTGCGGGCAGTCGGAGTCCGTTAAGAGGACTAAGAGCCTTCAGCTAACATCAGGGGGTAGCCCTGACCAGAAAGCCTCAGTTGCTCCTTTGTCTTTAACGGTCCCACGCGAAGACTCAGACTGAAAATAAAAGGAGGAAAAGAGGAGAGACTGCCAATCCCCAAGGGTAGGGCAGCTTAGAGGCAAACCTGCCTTTATCCTCCTGATGGGAGGTGATAGGAAAAAGAGATTGCTGATCCACAAAGGTGGGGATTGCTTAAAGGCAAAGCTGCCTTTATCCTCCTGGTGGGAGGTGATAGGAGAAAGAGATTGCCGATGCCCTCCTGATGGGAGGGATACTCATGAACTCTGCGCATTCCAGGAGCCGCACGTTCGGGCACCAGCTGCGGGGGGCTCTCCCTCTCTTCGCGGGTCGTTGGCCACCGGCCCACAAGGGCAGGGAGAGCAGAAGCGGCGAACGGGGTCAGGACGGCCAGTGAGCGCTGACGGAAGACAGCCCTTCCAGGGAAGCTGGTCACAGGCACAGTGAAACAGCAGTGATACAGCTCCAGACAGTGAAACAGCTCCGTTTATTAGTGGGAGAACTAGAGAATTTATAGTGTGGAGGCAGTAGCAAAAGCTACTATCTTCCAGACTATCAGGCAATGCCTGATTATCGTATAGAAAAAACCTAGGGGTAGTTTTTACTCCAGGTAACTATGCCAAAGGTCATGTTTTTAGATAAGGTCAGGCATCCGTGCTTGGTGGCACTTTCCAGGTGAGCCAGGAAGAGAGCAGGAGGCCCCCTGCTGAAAAGGGGAGTCCTTCCATTTGGCACCGAGCCCCTCAGGGCTATCCAGACATGGAGAACTACAACCCTAACAGCAGGGTTCCCTGACAATGCTGTTTACTGGCTTGCTCCCCTGGCCCCTGCTCAGCCTGCTTTCTTATGCAACATAGGCCCACCTGCCCATGGGTGGCACCACCCACAGTGGGCTGGGCCCTCCCACATCACTCATCAAGATGTCCCTCAGACATGGCTACAGGCCAGTCCAATAGAGGCAATTCCCCATCTGAGGCTCCTTCAACCCAGGTGTGTTAAGTTGACACTAAAGCTATCCAGCACAGATACTAAGAACAGAAGTGTTTGTGCCTTCAAAGTTTAGTCTAGGTGTGCAATGTTCAACACAAAGCTACTAGTCACACGTGTTCATTGACCCCTTGGAAACGACCACATTTTAATAGACATGAAAGCTACATACTTAGTAGAAAGTGTGAACTGTTTCTACACTTTGGTCCACATATCCAGATTTATTTTGGCTTATACTGAGTTAAGTAAAGCGTGTTACTAGCCAGGCATGGTGACTCATGCCTGTAATCCCACTACTTGGGAAATTGAGGCAGGAGGATCATGTTCTGAGGTCAACCTGGGCTATAGGGAAAACTCTTAAAAAATACTTAGAATTTAGTATGCATGTTATTTGTTGGGTAGCACCATTCTAAAGGATTAAAAAACCCCTTTTAACCAGGCAAATGACTCTATTAATACAAATTAAATGTTAACAGTTGGCAAGACAGAGGTAAATTTGTTTTTGTTTTGTTTTCACAAATAATTTTTTTGAACTATTTGAAATATCCTTTAAAAAGTAAAGAGAAAGTCAAGGGTGGTGGTGTACACCCTTTAAACCCAGCACTCAGGAGGAGATGCAGGTGGATCTTTATGAGATCAAGGCCAGTCTGGCTTACAGTGATATCCAGGCCAGTTGGGGCTACAAGGAAACCCTGTCTCAATCAATCAATCAATCAATCAATCAATCAATCAATCAATCAATCAATCAGCAGGTAAAGGTGCTTGCCACCAAGCCTGATGACTTAAGCTGAACATCTGAGACCCACATGGGGAAGAACAGACTCCCACAGGTCATCCTCTGACCTCCCCATGTACATACATTTTAAGAGCATACCTATGCCTATACACATGCAATGTATGCATACACACACACACACACACACACACACACACACACACACAAGAAAAAGAATAAATAAAAGGATGAAGACATCCAAGTCCCACAAAACAGTTACTGCAATTTTTAATACTTACCAAGTAAATTTCACTTCCAATTTAGAATAAAATTTTAGCAACTTAATATTTATTTAAACACATGAAATACACTACAGTTCTATTCACAAATTAATGTTCCTTAAACCAGGTCAGCTCTAACTGGCCAAGTGGAAAAACTGGCTAATTACTTTCTCTGTCAAGCTGAAAGTCACTACTTAACACCCTGGAATCCCAGAGTTTGTAAACTAAGTTTTTTGTTGTTGTTGTTTTGGTCTTTTTGAGACAAGGTCTTCCTGTAGCCCCAGCTGGCCTGGAACTCACTATGTAGACCAATGGTAAATAGTATGAGAGAAATGAAATACTATGAAGGAATGGGGAAGAGCTCATGCAGTGAAAGAGGCCATAAAACACACAAAACAGGAAGCGGGCAGGACATGCTGCACAGGAGCCATTTAGAGCCTGGTCTGTGTGTTTCATATACACACAATGCAAAGAGAGGTGGTTGCAGGATGTGCGCTGGGTTTCATCTCCAACACTGCTTTAAGGCAAAGCAGGAAACACCATGTGAGGGAATACAACCATGAGGAAGCATACAGCTCATGTTTTTATGTACAATGAGCACTTGTTGAGTTTTAACTTCATATACTATTTTTTTAAAATTTCAATGGACATTTCATAACTTATAAAATTAACGTAAAACATTATTGCTAGTACATTCATCACCAATTTAAAGGAATTTTTGGGGGGGCCTTTTTGAGACAGGGTCTCCCTGTAGCCTCAGCTGGCCTGGATCTCACTATGTAGACCAGGCTGGCCTTGAACTCAAGAGATCCACCTGCTTCTGCCTCCCAAATGCTGGGATTAAAGGCGAGTGCTACCACACCAGACCTAAAGGAACTTTTCTAATATTTATTATTTTTATTTTATGTGTATGAGTGTATTGCCTGCATGTATGTGAGTGCACCCGTGTCGTGCAATGCTGCAGAGGTCTGAAGAGGGCTTCGGATTCCCCTAGAACTGGAGTTAAGAACAGTTCGTAGCCACAATGTGGGTGCTGGGAATCGAACCCTGGTCCTCTGCAAGAGCAGTCAGTGCTCTTAACCACTGAGCCATCTCTCCAGCCCCTAAAGGAACTTTTAAAACCCTTCTTCCTCATCACCTCAACAATGTTCTAAACCGCTTTTACCTTATGACCATGATCCTCCTGAAAAAGACAAATCTGTGCTGTAGAATAAATTAAAAATGCAAAGCTGAAAACTTAGATGTTAACATTACAGACTTTCTGAAGCAAAATCAGTCCCTCGCAAAGTGCTCTCTAGAGCTGGTCACTCCTTGTCAATAAGGTATGTGCCCACCCAACAGCTACCTCCCCAACTCCCTAGCCTCCTCTCCCAGAAACTTCATCCAGAGCTCTGATGTCCTGGTGCTCTAGGCAACTCCTCCTCCTCAACGGGAAGCCATTTTTCCACCTAGGGGCAAACCTCAGAGTCTGGCAAGGAGCATTTTATTCCCTTTGCAAAGTGTTGTTTTAAAAGTGCTCCAAATGCAGAGCAAGGAAAATCTTCCTGTCACTTGCCACCCAAAACATCTGCAGTCACACTGGAGCCATGAGGTTATATAAACCAAGGTCACATGGGAAGACAATGGAGACAAGGTACTGAGGTCCTTGACGTCACTCAGCTGAGTCAGTCAGCTAAGGCACTACCCTGTCCTCCCTCAAGACTCCTGGTTACCAAGCAACTCAACCTAAAGACTGTAAAGCTGGTTTTTTTGATGCTGCAAATTGAACAACTAATTTACCTATTTTTAACATTTTATTTTTATATGTATGAGTGTATTGCCTGCATGTCAGTAGGTGCACCCATGTCATGCAGTGCCTGCAGAGATCAAAAGAGGACATCGGAGTCTCCTGGAATTGGAATTACTGACAGTTGCCATGTGGGTGCTGGGAATTGAACTCAGGACCTCCCCAAGAGCAGCCAGTGCTCTTAACCACTGAGCCATCACTCCAGCCCAAGCCTCTAATTTTTTAAAATACTATGTATGTATGTGGTGCATGTCTGTGAATGTGTCCAGAACAGAGCCTGATGCCAAGTGCCTTACTCTATTGTTCTCACCTGGTTTTGGTTTTCATTTCTGAGATGGGTCGCCCTGGCTGGCCGAGAATTCCCTATATAGACCAGGCTGGCTTTGAACTCAGAGATCCATTTACTTTGGCTTCAAGAGTGCTGAGATTAAAAGCGTGTGCCAGCACATTCAACCTTTATGAGACAGGCCACCATATTCAGGATCCAAACTCAGGTCTTCATGCTTGAGTGATGGATTCTTTAGCAGCAGAGTCACTTCCCAGTCTTCAAATGCATTTGTCTTTTTAATTATGCCTATGTGTACGGTGGGAGGTGCACATGAGTGTAGTGCCCAGAGGCCAGAAGAGGGAGTCAAATCTCAGCTCCTCTGGTGGTTGTGAGGCACCAAACAGGGGTGTTGGGAATAGAACTCAGGCCCTCTGCAAGAGCAGCAAGCACTTTTAACCACTGGAGCCATCTCTCCAGCCCACAGAATGTTTTCTGACTGCTAAAATAATCCAGACACATGCAAACACTCAACATTTATTGAGTATATGTTTATTTAGTAATAACAAGTTTCTCAAGAAAAATACGAGCTGAACCCCTTCAAAACAGTGTAAAGCAATCTTTCAATACTTGTAGGTTAGACCAAAATCTATAATTTCATATCCTCTTTCATAACTTTTAAAATACAAAAATAACCAAAAGATATTCACAATATCATAAAATCAGAATATTTTTATGTAAGAAGTTTAGAGGCAGTGACTTCTATGCACCACAGAACACCAGGATACCCTCCTGTGGCTTTGGACTACCATTCAAAAGATTAATGTACTTCTGCAAAATGCTTGGGAGAAGTCCAACACCTGCACCCTTTTCCAGTTTCTGAGGTCCACCATCTCCTCACAGATCTTGTTACAACTTTCATCAAAAGTCTCTAGCCCAGCTCTCAAATATTAATGACGATTCATGTGATACAACATGCTCTACTAAATTCTGAACAGACAACACAGTCAACAGCAATGCCACAGTTCTGGATTAGTTTTGTACAAGAAATGTAGTGTTTCAGTATTCCCTGAAGAGACTTAACACAAAAGTTGAAAACAGCTATTATAGTCAAAGTTCATTAACAGTCCAAATAAGGTATTCCCACTGAGCTATCATAGTCAAAATTAATTTAATTTTTAAATGGCATATATGCTGTTGCATTCTCTTAACTTTTAAAAGGCATTGTCATGGTGAACATGCCCACATATCTATCCCAACTACATAGATAAGCTACACACGGTCAGTTCTCAAGTTGGACAGAAGAATGTCAGAAGAGACATTCTAACCCCCCCAATACAGTATTCAGTTCACAGTACTAAAGAGAAATTCCTTACAAAGCTCCTTTCTGCTTCAAATGGAAATTTACAGAAAATTTTAAGGAAATAATCCCAGAAGGTACTTGGAATTATTAGTGGGGATGAGATACCAACAAGTTTTCAAAAGTCAATCTGACACTGATTTGCAATCAGTTTTTAACTGCCCAGATCAATACGCTATTCTATATTTTCTCATGATTCTCTAATTGCTAGATATTTGAGTAACATAATATATATATATACACACACTTTTAGCTTTTCTTTTCTTTTTTTTTTTTTTTTTTTGGTCTTTTTGAGGCAAGATCTCGACATACAGGCCACGCAAGCCTTGAGTTGCAGTTCTCCTGCCTCAGCTTCCCGAGTTGGGATACTAGGTCATGTACCGCTGTCCTCAGCTTTAATTCTTACAACAGCTTTTAGATTTCTGTCATAAGTTTATGTAACTTAGTCTTTTTTTTGTTTTGTTTTGTTTTTGGTCTTTTTGAGACAGGGTCTCCCTGTAGCCCTAGCTGTCCTGGAACTCACTATGTAGACCAGGCTGGCCTTGAACTGACAGAGTTCTGCCTGCCTCTGTCTCCCGAGTGCTGGGATTAAAGGCGTGTGCCACCACACCTGGCGTAACTTAGTCTTTTAAATCTAGTTTTATCTTTAATTAAAGAACAACAAACATCAGGTCAGCCAGCTTTAGTAGAGAAAATGGGCTGCTTTGGCAATGCAGAAAAGAGTGACTATTGTAATAACCATTCTATTCTACTTCTATTAAATATTAAAATGTAATAAGGCAATTATTACTTTAAGACACTTGAAATTGCATTTAACAAATGGACAACTGGCCCCACACCTGACATATTGCACACCTATTTTCCTTCTCTATTTACTCAAGAAGCCAAAACATTATTTAAAAAAACCCAATCAGCATTCTTTCTTAAAACATCTCATAGAGGTTCTGATGATGACTGTACTTTACAATATACACATCTGAAAAAGACAATGAGTGGTCTTTAAGAAACGTGTTTCTATTGTCTCCTTGTCCTTCTAATCCATTAAAAGTATCTCTACTGAGGAATAAACAGATGTGGCCTGTCGTTCCAGCGGCTAGTCAAGGGAAGGCCATGATTCTCATACCCAGCCTCCTAACAGCATGGTTAGGGAAAACTGTTACAAGATTCTTAGGCCCCGTTTAGACATAATGGAGCAGTCCCCTCCACCCCACTTCCCCTGGAAAGCCTTACCTAATCAACATCTGAAATGGCTAAAGGACATTGTTAGAACAGAAGATAATTGTTGTTTCCACAGGTCCTGGCTTACAAACTGGGATCCAGGGAAAGAAAAAAATGTCGGACCATTTCTACAAATGACTGGTAAATAATGTGACCAAGAAACATGTCTGCTATCAATAAATCAAGTAACGCTGGCTCTGTAGACATCAGGCAAGCACAGTGACCTAGGGAGGAGGTCCACAAGTCAAAAAGAAACCGTTTGCACACTATTTCCTCCATTTCAACCTCTCAATTTCCCTGCAGCTGCTCCATCTCCACTTCCATCTTCCGTCTCTCTTAGCCCTTTCTCTCTCCTCTCCTTCTTTCTTGCCTGACTACTCATTTACATCATTCTTTTCTTCCCTACTTTCTCTTCCTTGAAAACCACTCCTTACATACTATCAGCAAATTCACACTGGAGGTATACATCAGAAAGCACTCGGCCTCAGGAGATGGACCACATGGCAAAACAGAACTCCAACAGTAACAGTGGCGTGGTGTGGCTCGAGAGTACAGAAGTAGTTTCAATCCATTCTCTCTTCTGAGTCTTATGTTCTTGCAACAGTTGATGGGCATATTGAGTACACAGAAATGCCTAACGCACAGAGAAAGTGATATGCCTGTGGTCCCCAACAAAAAGTGAATCCAGATCCAGTTCCCAATCTGGTCTTGTCATTACATCATGTGATGGCTCATCTAGGTTGTCAACTTGACACATCTGGCAAGAGGGAACCTCAATTGAGGAATTTCCTCCGTCAGACTGGCCTGTGGGGCATTTTTTGTTAACTGATGTAGGCAGGCCTGGCCCACTGTGGGTGATCCCATCCCTAAGTAGGAGGACCTCGACTGTTTAAAAAAGGTAGTTGAATGTAAGCCTGAGCAAAGTCAGGAAGCAGCACTCCACCATTATTTCTGCATCAGTCCCACCTCCATGTTCCCACCTCCAGTTTCCTGCCTTGAGCTCCTGCCCTGGTTTCCCTCAATGATGGAACTGTAACCTGTAAGCTGAAACATACCCTTTCCTCGCCAAGTTGTTCTTAGTTACACTATTTATCACAGCAACAGAGAGCACACTAGAACAGTCCACTAACATATGACTGAAGGCAAATGAGCCATGAATAATCAGTGTCCAAAACAGCAGCAACCACAAACTTCCTATCCTCATAAGGGAAAAAGGATTTCTTAAACTATGCATCACAAAATGTTTTTGCCAGAGGTTTCACTAATTCTTTTTACACAAATAAAGTCTGAATACATTTTAAAGTCTTTCCACTTTGGTAATACTGTAATCCAGGTACAGTTCTGAGGTCTAAATTGTTCTGGCACACAGGCTCAAAGAATATATAATGTAATTTATATAAGCTGCATAGATTTACTATATTTTACTAAAGACTACTGGAAAATGTCCTATGTTGTTCATCTGTAACCTCTATCAAAACTCCATTTTTTTTTTTTTTTGACAGTCTCACTATGTAGCCTTGACTGGCCTAGAACTAACTATGTAGACCATGTTGTCTTTGATCTCACAGAGTTCTGTCTGCTTCTGCTTCCCGAGTGTGGAGATTAAAGGTGTGCACTACCACACCAGGCCCACAACTACATTTTTTAAGAATTCTCATGGAAAAAAATTATCATAAAGGTAAAACTCAGAAACTGCATTAAAAACTATTATATTCTGTGATATCAATGATTTTACATTTTAAAAAAAGTCTTCAATTTATGGCTGCATGCAAATAGACCAAATGAAGGACTTCCCACTGATCTACAAGGCAGACCATGTAACAATGCAGCCAGGCACACAACAAGCAAGTCCACAGCTACCTACAATCTATTCTATACCAACCCAATCAATCACACTGGAGCCCACAGTGCCAAGTCTCCACTAAGAAAAACCAAATCCTAAGGAACTTACTAATATAAATTATCTTGCTAATCACCCCAACGGCTTCCTCTAATTTCAAAATTATATCTACAATTTACCAATTGTGACATCTTAACTTCAACTGTCAAGTTGGCAAACTAATTACCAGTGGTTCCCAAACTAGCCAATGCCAAAATCTTTGGAGGAACTTGTTAAGGACCGAATCACCATGTCATGTGGCAGATTTCAGATAAGCAGAAAACTTGCTTAAGGACTGGCTATCAGGTGTGAAGCCTGAGACTTTAAAAGAAAAAAAGGATTAAGTGACGTTAATGGTGGTTAAGGTGACAGATATGAACAGTGAGTATCACTTTACTAGGCTCTACTGTCTGTGACTTTTGGTTTAGCTCAGGTGCTAGACCCTGAGCATGCTAAGCAAGCACTCTATTACTGAGCTACAGCCCCAATTACTCCAGTGTAAATCTTTCAATCTCTTCATTAAAGACACTTCCCCAGACACAACATACCTAGGATATCTACTTTTAACGAGTTCCCTACATTGGCCAAATTTCAAAATGGCAGCTCTGTTTCCTGCCGAACAAGCTATACTCTAACACATTTCACAGTCTTACTTCATCCTGGCATTCTGCCAAGGAGTCATAGCTGTTTCTCTCTCTGTCTGAAGAGTACTAGGCTGGTCACTAATGGGGCATCAGTTTGGGGGGGTTGTGTGTGTGTGTGTCTTTTTGAGACAGGGGCTCCCTGTAGCCCCAGCTGGCCTGGAACTTGCTATATGGACCAGGCTGGTCTCAAACTCACAGAGATCCACCTGCCTCTGCCTCCCAAGTGCTGGGGTTAAAGGTGTGCACCACCATGCCCAGCTAAGGGGCATCAGCTTTTGATTGCATTTTAAACCTTCTCTAAGTCTGTCCCTGGCTGAACTGCAGAAATTGAGATAACTGTACTAATCACTTCTTTCCCAATATGGGCACTGAACCTTTGCAAAGCCAAAGGCCATGAACTTCATCAATGATAATTGTTCCTTCATTTTTCCCTTTTCCACCTAAGCATTAAAATATTAAAGAGAAAAAGAAGATAATCATGTGGCACTGGGTAAGATGAGATACATGCCTCAGCACAGTATATACTAACTACTCAAAATCTTTAGTTACAGTAAATAGCAAGTCAAGATAGCAAGGAGTAATTTTTCTCATCTTCGAGATTTTAAAAAAGCAACTGTCTTCAGTGATATTCAAAAAAGGAATATGCTTATTGTGACCAAACTGCTTTTTCTATAATTAGATATAAAAATCCTCTAATCCAAATCAGCCATGACAGCTCATTTAAAGTAAGGCTCTGTGCATTTGCTTCTTAAAAAGGATCCTGGAAGGTATTCTGAGGTAGAAGGAAGTCTAAATGGACCACTTGTTATTGATTCCACTAGAACTAAGATCACAAGAAGCACTAGCTTGTGCATTTTGGTCCACTGTGTTTCCCACCATTGTAGTAATTCCCACTAAGAGTCTCATTGTACTATCAGCATCATATATTTTGTTTCCAGAATGCCCAGTAAAGCTGACATTTCTCACTTAAAAGTGATATTTTTAAATGTCCTCAAATATCTTAAGAGCTTAGGTTTGGCAAAAGTTTAATACATACAAAATGAAAACACTACATTTCTTTCTACTCACACACACACACACACCCCACATACGTACTCAACCCGCTTCTCAAAGTTTTCATCATTTCCCCTTTCTCCTACAGCTAATTTTTTAATGTGCAGTTAACTTAAAATCTACAAACAATTTTAAACACGATTGTCACAAAATATTGTAGAACAGAGATGAAATGTAACGGGCATACAGATTGTCAATGGTTACATTGGTTATCTCACATTTCTTAAGAAACAGAACTTGTCTGCTCCTGTAAACTTTTTTCTCACGTTTAAAGTGAGGTTAGTGCTGACATAAAATTATTGCTATGCTCACAGCTTGAATGTCTCCACTGGGTTTGAGGTACACTCTCTCCAGCCATCACCCCCACCATTCTTACTCACTTGAGAATAAGAGCCACAAGTTATAACCATTCAAAGTTTCCATCAATACTGGAATGACACCAAGTAATGTCACAAAGTATCAGAGATCAAAACGGTCTTCTTACTGGAGCCCAAGATTTTAAGTTATTCTTCATTATGTGAGGAGACTTCTCTTTTAACTTCTTCAGAAAAAAACTACTCTGGAGATAAAAATGCCTTCCTAGATACCTCCTCCCATACTCTTCACAAACCTCTGATGCTGTATTGTTTCACCCATTTAATTCAGCAGTACGAAGAGTCACCTGCCCTTTGGTGCTGTGCCGTAACGTTTTATGCTTTTCGTCAATTGCTTGATAAATATTTTGTAAATTTTTCCACAGTATGTATGAACCGTCCTCTGTAGTTCCAGTTCTAAAGGTTTCAGTAAGGAATGGACATTGTCATCTTCAAAAGAACACTAGAGGGAAAAACATAACAGGCAACATACACATAAAACATTAATTATTCTCCAAGTAATTTCTTCAGTCAGGTTAGCATCAACAGCTTTCATTTACTATCTCTCAGGAAGTACATGTTCAGTACATACTTTGAATGAAGTGAAACTATTAGAGAAGGACAGGGACAATGACACAGCAAGGAACCCTTTGTCAGAGGTAACCGAGTCCTTCTGAAGGGCCTTCCAAACCAAGGGAAAACAAGCTCCAAGAGCAGAGGCGACCCCGGGGACTGGTACAAGACGGTAACTGAGTCCTGTTGAAGGTATGTGAGATAAACTAGTAAAAGCAAGACTCCTTTGAAAAGAATGGGTGTGGGCTTACTGTGCAGGCTATCCCCATTCCACCTCTCCAAACTGCTGGTGATGGTGCAGGATGCTGACTTAGAAATTAATCAGACAGAGGCACAGGTGGGAAGAATACAACGTTATTCCATAATGTGGGATTTCCCAAAGACACTTGCCTGCGTCGTATTATAGCTTGCCTATATATCTAGAAGAGCGTATGCTGGACTGGGCCCCCACTCCCATGACATGACCGGTAGGTAAAGGAGGTGTGGTCTAGTGGGAAGAAGTCACTGGGGTACTCCCTAGAAGGATGTGGGACTGTAATGGCTCCCAGTCCTCTTCTCTCTTTTTTCCTCTCTCTGCTTGTCCTTGCTGCTATGAGGGGAGCAGCTCCCTCAGCTACCTGCTCCCACCATGACATAACACCTTACTGCAAGTACTCAGACGGAGTACAAACTGAAATCTCTGAAACTGTAGGTGAAAAACAACCTCTCCTATGTATAAGCCGGTTTATCCCAGAAAAATAATGGAAAGCTTATTAATACACTGCACAAAAGGGTTCAATTAAAAATGCAAACAAGAATTGCTAAATATTATGTACTTTTCACAGGAATTCTTACTGGCACATGAAAGTCTAAAATGGAAACCAGGAAACCCATCTGTTAAATGCTGATGGGTTAATAATTTCAAAGTGTGTTTCTGACCAGTTTCCTTTTATACTGTAAAACATATAAACATCCCAAGTAATATGCTTTAACACACTGTAGCAGTACAAATAACTTAAGACCTTAATATTTTCAATTGTGTGTGTGCAAGCACGCGCATGGTTTGGTCTTTTTGAGACAGAGTTTCCCTATAGTCTCAGCTGGCCTAGAACTCACCATGTAGGCCAGGCTAGCCTCAATCTCACACAGGTCCTCCTGTCTCTGTCTCCCGAGTACTGGGACTAAAGGCATGCACCACCATGCCCAGCTAATCAGGTATATTTTTGACGTAGTGTTTGTTTAGTATTTTGTTTTTATTTTCTGTGTATGAGTGAGTATATTGCCTACATGCAGGTAGGTGCACCCGTGTTGTGCAGTCCCTGTGGAGGTCAGAAGAGGGTGTTGGATCCCCTGAAACTAGAGTTATGGACGGCTGTTAGCTGCCATGTGGGTGCAGGGAATGGAACTTGGGTCCTCTGCAAGAGCAGCCACTGCTCTTAACATCTCTCTAGCCCCTGACTTAATATTCTCAACTAACTATGTTTTCTATTAGAAAGATGGATGGGTCTGAAAATAGACCACATTATATCAAAGTTCCAAGTCAGTGAAAATCAAAATCACAAAAGAAATGGGTTAACATGAAATCTGAGGTGCAAATAAGCTAAAATTACCCCAAGGTTCACTAGCGCCAAGGGAGATACACTCAAAGCTCTAAATGAAGCAGGGAGGGAGCTGGGAGCTGGAAGCTGGCTAGCTTTCACAGTGCTGGAAGTGCATGCAAGCTGCTAGGGGAAGATGGCCGCCAACAGTTGTACTCAGCCGTGGACCCATGTGCTAACTACCAACCTCTGCTGAGTGTGCACACTGGTGCAATAGTGACAAGACTGTTTTCGGGACAACCAACTACTTTCTGATTGGATTAAAGGCCTGCTCCACAGGAGGGAATTCACAACTGGTAACTGAAAACCTGGTCAAAAGCCTAACAGCTGAGAAGGTCACAGGTCCTAGGAGGGAAGCTATTATTACTGTTTGCTGAACTGACATGTTATGCCTCTCAAATTACCTTCTAAATATTTGTTTATGACCAAAGAGTAATGCTGTGGTCAACTTTAGTCAAGAAAAATTTCCTTTTTAGTTGGCAGGGATTACCAAGAGACTCGTAAATTGTTAAAGTGCGATGAACGAGGGGCAGCTGAGTACTTGGCCCTCCAAAGACTCAGGGAACACCCAAAGATGTGGGAAGCTGGGGACCAGTGGCAGGAGCTGATGGATGGGGTGGAGGTTATAGAACGCCATCCTCTAGCCAAGACATGGCTGTTACCCTCTTGACCTCTCAGCAGCTGTGATTACCAGCATGAGACCTGCACAGGACTGGGCACAGCAACACAACCATGGAGGGGAGGGCTCAGTAACCCAAATGAAACTCACTGGGTCACAATAAAGGAGAGTAAAGGAAAAAGAAGGAAAAGAAAAGGGAAACACAAAGCAAGGCTACGATAAAGGAAGTAGGAGACAACTTGGGTCAAAGAAGGGGTATCAGTGAGAGACAGAATGAAGCCAAAAATACCTGGGGCACAGAATGCTTTGTTCCATTCTGAATTTGCAAGTTTTAAACAATATTTCTATTTACAGAACAGCACTATTTAAAAAATATGTATAAACCATAAAGACTGATTTGCAGCAGACACAGCTGTAAGTTCCAGGTTTTAAACATGGCTCAGATTCTTTATAATTCATAGTTTGCTGCAGTCCATGGTTATGACTAAGCTTCTATTTGAAACTTGCATAAACACCCTTGTCTGAATGCAATTTAAAAAAATTACACTCACTGAATTATAGATAAGGAAAGATAAAACAAGCCAAGAGCTCAATAAAAGACTGATTAACTTCATTAAGTTAAAAATGATGTAGTTAATACCCAAAACAAACACAAAGATCATTTAGTATTTGACATCATTTAAAACCTAAGATCTATTTTCAAAATCACATGTAATTAACTTTAAACTATTCCTTATATTTTAGAAGGTGTAAGTCAAAAGGGAAAAAAAAATGAGTGAAATTTGGATGATTTAATTCTCTAATAACAGATTTTTTAAATGCTCAAGGGAAACAAAAGAATTGCACTTTTATAGGTCCTAAAAAGTCCCAGGACCCTAAAAGTACTTTTCTTCAATTTTATCACCTACTGATAATCCAGAATAAAACATTATTAAAAACGATACTAACTTCTGAAGACATAAAAGATCTGCTACATTAGGATGAAAATTAACACTAAAATTTACAATTCTTTAGCAAATATAACCGTATCGTGGTGAACTAATTATTTACCAACTTTATCAAGTTTATTGAACAAAAAACTTGGCAAACAGAACAGGAAAGCCACAGCACGCAACACCATCATCCATCTAACTTTTGGGTCTGAGAAGTGCAGGTCTAAGTAAAGACACTTCAGCTTTCTGGAAAAGTGGCCAACACATCAACATGGCACACCATCCACAGTACCGGCCTCCCATTACGCTCTTCAGGGACCATTTCACAGCCTCTGAACTCAGGCAGTTCTCAATCCAGGCTAGCCCACTCATTTAGCAAACTCTTATTTTTAGGGCTTTGTCTGTCTGACATAACTTCTTTTCAACGATGCTTCCCCTGACCCTTCAAGGCAAAGCTGCTGGACTTTCTCAGTCAAGCATGCAAACATCATAGTCAAGCGTTTTTATTTTCTTGCTGCCCATGAGGCTGTACAGACCAGCAAGTGAACCAAGCAGCAGGGACCAGCAGTCCTTCCCGCCCTCACACGCACATCAAATTAGCACTCCTTGTACTTGGGCAAGAATCTGTTTTGTCTTGTTTTGGAGACAGGGTCTCACGGCCTTAGATTTTTATTTTTTAATTATGTCTGTGTACATCTGTGTGTGAGCACTGCACCCCTGAATGCCTGGGCCTACGGAAGCCAGAGTTACAGGTGCCTGATGTGGGTGCTGGGAACTGAACTTGGGTCCTCTCCAAGAACAGGACATGCTCTTAACCCGAGCCAGTTCTCCAGGCCCACTGGTAACTTCTGAACACAGTATTGAGTGCACGTCCTGGTCTAAGGGCAGGGAGAGAACAAAGGACTGGAAACAAACTCTGAACCTTTTCCAGTGAGCTGGGCTGGGATACGGGGAAGGAAAGCGGAGATAAAGTGCGTGAATAAAGTGTTTCTGAAGTTATTTTAGTACAGATTTAAACAAACAAGGAGATGTGTTGATGTCAGAGTCAGGATTCTAACTGTACCACTGAAAGGGACTGATAAAATACAGAACAGAAGGCAAGGAAGAGCCCTGGAAGCATGGCTGGGACTGTGCTCCCATGTCCTAGCTCTGTACCCAAAAGGGCTTAGAGCTGTCATGGTTGGTCTTATCAACTTGATTGGATTAGAACCACTTAGGAGAAATGTTTCTGTGAGTTTCCAGAAAGGATCAGCTGAGGATGGAACATGGTCGCACCTTCCAAGGATGGTCAAGACAGAGTTCCCAAAGAGAAGCAGCAGCCTTCCCTGTGTCCCCTGAAAAGGCATGTCCATCATGGCTGCAGTGATTCTCCACTCAGACTCCAGTTTCTTTAGGCTTCTATAAGTGGACTCAATGCCAACTACTCTTCAGGAATCTTCCAGACTTTCAACTCCAGACTGGACTGCTGCAGCACCCAGCTTCTTGGACTGAGTCAGCAGCTACTGAGTTCTCTGCCTAAGTATGCAGTCATTATTGGTCTACCCAGCCCCTATCTTGTAAGGCAATCTAATGTCATCCCCCCACCCTGTTTCTGTTCCTCTAAAGAATCCTGCCTACTATAGAAGCAAAACAGTAATCTATGTAACTTCCAGAGAGAAAAGGGCACCTCTGACAGGTGACCAAATTCAGAGCCACCCAAAGCCAAGTCTAAATAAACCTGGACTATTTTGTTAAAACATAAAGAAGGTAGTCAAAAACTGATGAGGACATGTCAAAAGGGCACAAGTGTCCAAGGGGCTCCAAAGAGTCAAATCAGGAATACCTTCAGCACCAACACAACCAGAAGGAAATACTATAAACCATGGGGGCGGGGGGGATCAAGTAATTTAAAGTCAGTACAGAGGAGGGCTCCTCTTTCTCCTTCTACTGCAATGCTAAATGCCAATAAGAACTGTGGACTGTGCCACTGGACAATCATCAGCTGTCAGAGGATGCTAACGCTAGCAGAAAAACTTTGGTAAGAGGCTGTTTATTAATCAAAAGAGAGCAGGAACACAAGGCCAACACATTTCATTTTCTGAGTTTTGTATCTATAAAATGGTTAATAAGGGGATGTCCTTAGTCTCACTAAGTAAAACACACTCTAGATTTCAGGGGTGAAGAGAACGTACAATTTACTGGAAGATGGTTCAGAAATGTATGGAAAGTGAACAGCAAATGGCCAAATTCTGGGTGCCAATGAACTTACAAGAAGATTTAAGGACATTCTCTACTCTATTTGCAGACTCTTCATAAGATTATAAACTTGGGGGAAAGAAAACTTACATTTCTCAGTGCTTCATAAACAGCTCTAAATGCTGGCTGCTTGTCGTCATGGTAAACGCCTCTGTTTCCATGAAGCACAAAGACTCCTTCTTCCTCTGCTCCCTGGCAGTTGCTTCCATATATACAGTGATCTGGCCGGTAATTCCATTGACATGGAAAAACAAAAAGCTTTTCTGCACGAAGAAAAACCAAAGAGTAAGAAAACAAAGCACATACTCCCCAAGTCTACAGAATTCTGCAAAAGTTTAGTTTAAAAGAAATTACACTTGTCATCTAGATGTTTCTCAACCAAAACAATATTCAAAAAAAAGCCTTATTCTGCCTTAAATGTAAATATTTAATATAAGCAAAATATCAAACAAATGTGTTCCTGTGTTACTCAGGACCGAACTGAGGCATCACAACGCTAAGCATCACATGCTAAGTGTTAAGGTTCAGATAGCCCCACCCCCTCACCAACAGTGTCTCAGGGACTTCTCAAGCTCCTGAGAAAAGGAAACCAAGATGATAAGCGCCCTGGTCTTTGAAGTCAAGAGAAGCAGACTTTTCTCTACTGTTTGGCCAACACAGCAGGCTTCCCCTTTGATCTCTAAAAAAGGACAGATTTTAACAGTCCTGCTCTCCTGCTCCCCACCCCACCACCCCCCCCAATATCTTCCTGCCTTCTGCACCACCTGAGCCCCCCCCCAGCTCACGACCCAGGTAGATATTTTCCCTGCCCAGAAGGGAATCTGTCCCACGTGTTCTTTTGCTAATAAACTCCGCTTTGTCCTGATCAACCCTATTCTTCATAGGCTACTTTTTATCGATCACTAAGCATCAGATGCTAAGTGAGCACTGCCAGATGGTATAGCCACAGCACACTGTTCCTCATCTTGACTGAGTTGAATCCATAGTGTCTTAACAAATAAAAAGAATAAACTACATTTAAATGATTACCTGGATTATGAAAAAACATGATGTTTAGCAGATCCTGATCGCCCCAGGTGATGTTCAGCTTATACTTTTTAAGCAGTGGCATAAGTAAGTCCCCCCACTGCAGCTGTGCAGTAGTCATGTCATTCTGTTGGTAAAAACAAAAAAGCCTCAGAACTCCAAGGCCAATAGTATCATCACAATTCTCCATTCTCAGCAACCATCAGAGCCACAAGGAAAACCGAAAACCCATTACAGAATCATGTGTCATTTATAACCCCAAACAAGAGGCAGGAAGTTAGCAAAAGAAGCCCGAAGGCATCCACAGCAGTGACAAAACAAAGCAAAGGGAGCCAAGAAAAAGCAATGCTAGTTCAACTATTATATTTGAATTTTAAGGACTCTAAATTTTTTTTTTTTAATTTGTGTGTGTGTGTGTGTGTGTGTGTGTATGTGTGTGCACGCTTGTGTGTTTGAAAGTCTTTAGTCCAGGCTATCCTCAAACTCTCCCTGCTTCTAGTGTTAAAATTATAAGCATGCACCATCACACCCATGTTTGAAAGCTTTTGACCTGATAAGGCAAGGTTGCTGAGTTCCTCAGTAAAATAAGATTTTGAGGTGAAAAGACATTTATATAAATTTATTATAATACACTGCTATAGTTATTTTTAATATTTACTTTTAATTATATTTTAAATATATGTGTGTGTGTGGTGGAGAGTGCACATACATGTGGTACTTGATGAGGAAGATCCCCTGGAACTTGAGTTATGGACAACTGCAAGCTGCTACATGGGTGCTGGGAACTGAACCCAGGTCGGTACACTGCAAGAGCAGCCAGTGCTCTCAACCCGAGCCATCTCTCCAGGCCCCTATTTTTTCTTATTATTCATCTGTTACTGTGTCTAATTTATAGTTAAACTTTATTACAGCTAAGTGTATAGAGTTCAGTACTACCCATGTTGTGAAATGCTATCCTCTTGAGCATATATAATATGGTCACTGTCCTCTTTAACTCTCAGCAGCTGTGATTACCTGGGCCCATTCCTGTTCAGTCATGAAGAGGAGTTGCTGCTTACGAGGCCCAGCCTCTCCTCAAGGGTATTTAAGTGGTTAGTGGTTGCTAATGAGACAGACCTTTCTTTAGGGGTGAATCCACCCATGGCTACTCATGCTTCTCTAGGTAATCCCTTACCCTTCCCTGATCCTGTAAGTGACCACTTCTCTGGTGTCACTGGTGCCCTATCTGGTATAAGGCAGCATTTGCTCATCTCTCTATACCCCAGGAAAGTTCACCCAACAACCCAACGTCTCAGGAATGCATCCCCTCAGGGAGTGCTACGCTCAAGATAGACACAAGATTAATATACTTCTACTCCTCACTCTGCATTTCCCCATCCTCTCCAATCCAATTTTTGTCAAGCTTTTTTTATTTTTTTTATTTTTTTTGGTCTTTTTGAGACAGGGTCTCCCTGTAGCCCTAGCTGTCCTGGAACTCACTATGTAGAGCAGGTTGGCCTTGAACTCACAGAGATCCTCTTGCCTCCTGAGTGCTGGGATTAAAGGCATGCACCACCATGCCTGGCACTTTAGTTATTTATTTATTTATTTATTTATTTTTTGAGACACAGTCTTGTGTATCCCAGGCAGGCCTCAAACTCACCGGCCTCAAGCCTCTTGCCTCCGCCTCCCAAGTGCTGGAAGGCATATTGTTTTTTAGTGTTTAACTTTAGTTGTATGTATGTCATTTATCAATTTACAATGGTTTCTTTGAATTTCTAATTACAAATGAATAGTGGTTGAGGTAAACATAATAACCAACACCAAGCAGAAACATGTGCAAGACACTGTCTAACCACTCCTTACCATATTCCCACAGGTTCAAGTCCAAACAATTCTGACCCTAACATAGATACCAAAACTATGCTCATTTTAAGAACATACTACTCATCTTGAAATATGTGTGTATTTGTGTGTGTGTGTGTGTGTGTGTGTGTGTGTGTGTGTATGAATGTTATTGGATATAAATAAGCTAGTCAGTCACAAAGACAGGAAACAGAAATGACTACGAATGATATGAAAAGACTTTCAGGGGACTAGGGAGATAGCTCAGTGAGTAAGAGCACTGACATAAAAAAGCCAGTAGTGGCCACATGTGCCTATAACCCCAGCACTGGGCAGGGGTCAGCAAGCAGGACGATCATTTGGACTTGCCAGCCATCCAAAGTGGCTGAAGTTCAGTGAGAGACCCTGTCTAAAGAGAATAAGGTGTAGAGTAATAAACATCAGGTGTACAGTGCTGTCCTCTGAGAATCAAGAGCTTTAACCATGAGAGTAGCTGTGACTACTTGCACATGTGCGCACATACCCATTTATAGACATGTAACTAAAGATAAAAATTAACCTTAAAAAGAAGAAAAAAACATTTGATGGTGTAGAAATTATCTAAAGCCCCTTATCTACAACTCTACCTGGTTTAAAACATACTAGTAACAAAAAGAAAAGAGGAGAGGGAAAACTACCAATGTATTTAAGTAAAAGTTCAAAGTAGTAATAAACTTGAATTACAAAGCTCTATTTTAACTTTTAAAATCAAGTAGTTATATCTCCACAGTTCTTCACAGCACTAAACTCATAATTCTACAAATTTAAAATGCAGTTACTAAGAAGTCACATGTTTCTTAGTAGGTAATCTTATAGCACCATCTTCTGGCATAATATTACCAAGCACAGGCTAAAATCAGAAATAATAAGGACTGTTAATCAGAAAATAGGAATCATGTTATTATGCTGGTTTCAGATAATAAAGCTTATGGTCCATGATATCTAAAAATTCAAAATACAACAGCAAACTAACAGTGTTGTTAAACAAGAGCAGATGCCAACCCAGCACTGGTCTCATTAATGCATTCACTTCTGGGAGACAAACTATTTAAAAATCAGTATTTTGGAGCTGGAGGGATGGCTCAGCAGTTAAAAGCATCGACTGCCTTTGTAGAGGAAAAGGGTTCAATTCCCAGCACCCACATGGTGACTAACAATGGTCTGTAACTCCAGTTCCAGGCAATCCAACACCCTCTTCTGTCCTCTGTGGGCACTGCACGACACAGGTGCACTTATACACATGCAGGCAATACACTCATACACATAAAATAAAAATAATAAATAAAATACTTATAAAAACCAAGATTTGGTAAATATTCAGAAAAGGGAAAGCTAGAAAAACAAAGCTTACTTGATCAACAGACTGTAAGTATGAGGGTGCTACAGGGTTCTAAGACAAACAAACACTAACACACAGTGATGACAGCTACCAGCAGATCTACTGCTCATACTAAAGCAACTCTAAATGGGGTGAAGATTTAAACAGGTATGTAGAAAGGAAAAATGAAAATGATATAAATTCTGATCTACCAAAGCCACAGAAAAATATCTGAAAAATGCACACACTTGCAAGTATATATACAGACTCATAAAATCCTTTAATTTACTCCTAACTAGATACAAAGGAATAAATAGCAAAGAGAGTAACAGGTGGTGTCACTATTTTTACTTTATATTTTAAAAAGTTTACAAAATGTCATGCTCTGTACTGGGCATGTCTTTAAAGATTTATGTACCTATTTACTTTATATATGTGTGTGCCTGAGTGTATGGAAACCCACATGTGTGCAGTACCCACAGAGGCAGAGAGGACATCAGATCCCCTGAAACTGGAGTCACAGGAGGCTGCGAGCTACCCAATGTGGGTGCTGGCAAAGGAACCTGGCCAGCCAGTTTTAATCCACTTAATCTTCACAAAAGGCTTAAAGCCTGGGTATTGTTACTGCTCCATGTTACATAAGAGAAAAGCCCTGAGATAGCCAAAACTTACCCCAAGTGACTGAATTGCTAAGGTGCTATGATGGCTAATCTCAGTTGTCAACCTGACTAGATATGGAGTCAACTAAAATGCCAACAGCTAAGCACTCCTGTGAAGGACTTTTTTTTTTTTTTTTTTTTTTTTTTTTTTTTGTCTTTTTAAAGGAGGGTCCCCTGTAGCCCCAGCTATCCTGGAACTCACTATGTAGACCAGGCTGGCCTTGAACTCACAGAGATCCACCTGCCTCTGCTTCCCAAGCGCTGGAACTATAGGCGTGCGCCACCTCGCCCAGCTCAGTGAGGGACTTTCTTGATCAGATTATCTGAAGCTGGAAAAACCACCTTAAGTGTAGGGAGAACATTCTGGTGGTGGCCCAGATAAAAGAACATGAAGTTTAGCTGGGGCATGGTAGCACACACCTTTAATCCCAGCACTCAGAGGCAGGCAGATCTCCATGAATTGAAGGCTAGCCTAGTCCTCATGGTGAGTTCCAGGCTGGCTAGGGCTACAGGGAGACCCTGTGTCAAAAAGACCAAAAATAAAAAAAAAGAAGACATCGAAGTTTGTGCTTTCTGCCTGCTTGCCCTACCTTCGCTGATATTAGAACCAGCTTCATGAAGCTTCCAACATGGACTGAAGACCAGCAGTTCTCTAGGAAACATCCAGGTCCTCAGCACTAGACTTGAACAGCTGAGACATCTAGCCTTGCAGACTAAGCAACTACTGAATTCTCAGCCTCTCCAGTAAGTCAGTCATTGTTGGATCACTCAGAACCTATCACCCCCTTTTAATGTACGTTTTCATTCTATCAGTTCTGTTCCTTTAAAGAACTCTGACTGTATTGGTGATGAGGTTTGAACCAGACCAACAGGCTGCAGAGTCTATTCGGACAGCCCCAACTCTGCCCTAAGATAATATCACTTTAGATTCAAGTTCCTTACGGCTGTGGGATTGTAGAAGGATGGCGGCTTCTTGCACAGACAATCTAGGAAGAGGACAGTAACTACTTGGCACACTGCTTCACCATAAGAAATGCCATCAGATGTGACCCACTGCAATTTTCTACCACAGAATACTATGAACACACTTTTCCCCAATTACCCTAAATAGAGAAAAAAAATTGAACAGTTTAGTCTACATACAGGTGTGTATGTAATATTTTATTATTTTGTGTATGTGTGTTCACGCACAAATGTGTACCTGCTCCCAGAGGTCAGAAGACTGCATCAGATCCCCCGTAGCTGGAGTTAAAGTGGTTGTAAGCCATCTGACATGGGTGCTGGAAACCAAACTCTCCAAGAACAGCAACTGCTCTTAACCCCTCTGCCCAACTGCTCTCTAGCCCCTAGTTTAGTCTAGGTCTTAACAACAACAAAACTCAATTGGAAAGCAAATAATTTCAGGAGGAAAAGTGAAACATTAGCTGACTACTTGTACCAGCACCGTACCTTGAAATGTGCCCCTCTCATTCGTGTCATATTCATCAGCATGACTCCAGAGTTGACTCCCGTTTTCCCGTAGTATGGATGTCGAGCAAAGCGATTGTACCAGCCTATTCGAGGCTCCTCATGCTCGGGTGCCATCGCAGCAATTTGTGTGGAATTGAATTTTTTTAGTAAAGACCAAATATCATCAACAGGTCGTAAAAAAAGGATATCAGTGTCGACATACAACAGCGAGTCCACTTCTTTCAGGATTAACTATGAAAATAGATTTGAATAATTAGCTGTAATTTTATGTAATAAAAGCAGTTAGAGAAGTTAAACCTAAGAGTTCATTTAGATTGATTTTCAAGGAAATTTTTCTGAAATCTGTTATTTTTGGCAAATTCATAGATACTATGCTAATTTTTATATCAACTTTCTTTAGAAAAGCTAGAAAAACAAACCAAAATAAAAACCTCAACAATGAGGCAAATAAAGGCATTATCATAGTCAGGGAAGAGCTGTTTCTCATGACAGGAAAGACATGAACTTGAGGTGGATCATATACTGAACTGTAACACCCTAAGGTAAATACAGACATAAGCCAATGCAAGCAGAAGTCTCCTGAACCTGTCTCTCAGCCTGTAACACAGGCACTTTGCCATGAGCAGGTGGCAGAGGCAAATGGATCCCAAGCTATCTAGTCCAGAGTACCTGATCTTATGTCCATGTGTACTAGCTCCCAATAAATCAAAAGGACAGGATCTTCAAACAAAACTAACTTCGTTGCAGTTGTGAAACGCTGAATCTCCAATGTCTACCTTCCACAGAGATTTTCAAGGATAATTTTTAAATATTTTATTTATTATTTTTATTTTATGTGGTATGAATGTATTGCCTGCATGTAGGTAAGTGCACCCGTGTTGTGCAATGCCTGCGGAGATCAGAAGAGGCCATCGGGTCCCCTGGAACTGGAGTTATGGACAGTTGTTAGCTGCCATGTGGCTGCTGGGATTCAAACCCGGGTCTTCTGCAAGAACAACCAGTGTTCTTAACCGCTGAGCCATCTCTCCAGCCCCAAGGATAATTTTTATACTGCCTTACAAACTTTAAAATCTGACTCCTGCAAACAGACCACTCAATGAAGTTACCAAAGACCACACACACACACACGAACAAACAATCAATCTAATGTTCTGAGTACATTTATAATTTTGTACTGGGCTCCATGCATAGCTATAGACCATGGGCAGCAGGCTGGATGGACAGGCCTGAAACCCTTTTAGTTAAGACTGCATGAATGAGAACACGACCTTAGTCTCCATTCTGCTGCTCTGCAAATCCATTACTTTTCCTGCAACTTAAGCCACTGCCTTCCTGAGCAATGGACAGGTTGAAATCCTTACTTCTCCCTTAGTCCACACATCAGCTGATTTAGGAACAGAAAGGGGAAGCACTAATGGCTGACCACAGACCTCTGAGTGTCTCTTCTCAAGAAAAGAGGGGTGAGAATTGTTTTCTGCTTTTACTTTTTGTTTTTTAAGAGGGTCTTATTATGTAGCTCTAGTTGGTCTAGTATTTGTTAATACAGTCCAGGCTGGTCTTTGAACGCCCTGTGATCTTCCTGCCTCAGTCTCCCAAGGAGGGCTGGATTACTAGACCGAGGGTCATACCTAGCCCAAGAATTGTTTTTAATATCAATATTCTGCTTCTGTACCATAAAACATTGTGCATTTATACATTAATATATCCTTGGAAGACTAAGACACTACATAAAGCTTCAAGTTCAAAGGCAGACCTGGTGGCACAGGCTCTGTAATGATTTATTCCTCCATGGGCAAGCGCAGGGCACCCTGGGAAGAAGGGTGGAGCTTAGCATGACGGGAGATTGGAACAAAAGGAGGATTTGGAGCCACTCTGGGAAGCATGGAACAGGGAGCAGTCGAGACAGTGAGTGGGCATGCAGAGACGCAAGATGAGGCAGGCCGTGGGTAAAAGTGATCTGTAATGGCGGGCTGAGCCAGAAGAGCTGGGTGCCTAGTGTTGGGTGTTCGTTTCTTCATAAGTCACTCCCCTCCTCCACCAAAGATATAAACTATGCAAAATTCAGACAAAGATGTGTTATGTAGTTTGTCTACCCACATCAGGAGCATGGGACCCTAAGAGAACTTGGGCGACAAACTGGCACAGCTGGCAGGATGATGGCGCTGGAAAAGATAAACCACAGGAGTTTGGGAAATGCGAGGGAGCTCAGGGCGGTGCTGATGTGGACCTTACAGTGGATTATAAAATATGTAACTAAAAAGGGTCCAGCCACGCAAACGGGTGGGCCACAGCTGTGTTGTAAATGTGGGGAAATAGCCCAGTTGTGGGTATATGAAAATTTGTTAAAGGTTATAGAAAGGCTAGAAAAACTTTTACAGGCCTGGGACATAAGCAGAGAACCCAGAGAGGGAACATGGCCACTTTGCATAATAAAAGACGTGGCCCTGGCAAGGGAAGCTGAAAAGGCCGGGGAGGTGCTGGCAGATTTAGTTACAGAACTTGAGAGAGGGGAAAAAAAAGGGACATTTAAATTGTATAAGGTCCAAGGACTCCAGAAAAAAGACAGAAAAATAAAAGTAGCTAAAGCTGCCCCTCAGATTCAACCTTTGATACAGAAAGGAAAGCCAGCTAGCAGTAATGTAGCTAGGAAATACTCCACACTGGAACTGTTAAAACTAGGAAAAACTTACAAGCAAGCCCCTCACCACATGGCTTGTGATTGTATGGGACATGGGCGCAAATAACATCAGTCTAAGTCCTTCAGAAGTTTCACAGCTGAGTTATATAACTACCCATCCATTCTTGCGATATAGGCTGTGCAACCTAGGCCAATGCAGGGGGGAGCAGTCCTTAATGGGATGGCCGGTTGAAGGCATTAAAGATACATGGTCATCACCAAAGGAAACTTCCATAATTAACAGAGACTGGAGGACTATAAAAGAGGAACAGGCATTACTGAGAGAACTAGGTATGAGAAAAGCAATATATGATGCCCAGTTTACTGGGCTAGATAAGACTGTTCACCAGAGATATAAAGGAAAGATTAATTCAACTAGGACCTCAAGAATGGTACGGAGCTTTAATGGTTTTGCTAAGCCCTTTAATGGGACAGGATCTCTGTAAAGTGAGAGAGGCTTTAGCAGATCTAAGTGACTGTGACCAACGTGTAAAATGTGTCTGTAGAATAACAGAACACCCCACAAGAGATATAAAAAAGACCAGATAGAAGAAATGGTCCATTTGCGTTACTCAAAGACAAATGTGGCAAGGCTTATGTCGAGCCCAAATTCCCAAAGAAAAAAATTGATAGAAAACCAAATTCAGTACTAAGGAGTTTCTAGAAGGCTTTAAAGCCAGAAGAACAGTTTACAAAAGGCATTCAGAGGATAAATACTGTCCCAAGGGCGTTTAAGGATCCCCAAAGATTAAATAAGGTACACTTCTCTCCTGAGAAAGGCTATGCTAGGAGTAGAGGCAGTTTTCCCACCAGGGCCTCCCCCAGCAGCCAAGTATGGTCAATCAAAAGGCAGGAGATATGGTCACATCCAGGAGGGAAACCCAGGGCCTGCCTGACTCAGGAAACCAACAGGTGCAGCAGGGACAAGCGACCACCTCTGCCTGCTTAGTCTAGTGAGAGTCAGACAGCTGGAGCCAACACCTGTAAATATATCAAGGACAAGAAGATACAAAGAGACTCCATGTAAAATCCCAAGAATATAGAATGACCCCAAAGGGATAACTAAAGATGGTAAAGAATTAATCAAATGAATGCCTCTTACCCATGCTATGTACCTAACAGAGATCTATGGAGAAAGCAATTAATACAAATGAACAAAACCTTTCCATGCTGTGTTAGACCTTGTCTATGATTCATTTAATATATGATGTTAACCTTTGAGTGTTTTACGGATGTGAAACCCATTTGAAAGATACCTGAAGAAACAAAGGCCAGCTATAGCTGTAAGATTCTTGGGACTTTTATGGTTGGGTAAGATAAAAACAGAGGCTCCCAAACTATGAAACTGTTAAGGCCGGGTGTGGTGGTGCACACCTTTAGTCCCAGCACTCAGAAGGCAGAGGCAGGCGGATCTCTGTGAGTTAAAGGCTGACCTGGTCTACAAAGTGAGTTCCAGGACAGCTGGGGCTACAGGGAGACCCTGTCTCAAAAAGACTGTGCTGGATAGCTTTAGTGTCAACTTGACACATCTGGGTTGAGGGAGCCTCAATCAGGGAATTGCCTCTATTGGACTGGCCTGTAGCCATGTCTGAAGGGCATCTTCTTGATGAGTGATGTGGGAGGGCCCAGCCCACTGTGGGTGGGACCACCACTGGGCAGGTGGGCCTGTGTTGCATAAGAAAGCAGGCTGAGCAGGGGCCAGGGGAACAAGCCAGTAAGCAGCATTCCTCCATGGCCTGTGTTCCAGCTCCTGCTTCCAGGTTCCTGCCCTGAGTTCCTACCTTGGGCTCCCTGATGAACTACAACCTGGGAGATGTAAGCTAAATAAACCCCTTCCTCCCCAAGTTGGTATTGGTCAGAGTGTTTTGTCACGGCAATAGAGAAACAAACTAGGACAAAGACCAAAAAAAAAAAAACTGTTAAGAAAAACTACAGTACCAGGGGTGGGTTGCCCCCCTATAAGCTGTTGAGGTCCTCAAATTCACCAAGGCTATTGCCACTAATGTCAGCTGTACACTAGAAAGGTTGGTAAGGCCATGTTGCTGAAGACACTGCATGATGTGAGAGCGGGAGGAAAAGAAAAGATGGAGCTGAGACTAAGCCAAAAACTCCGTGCTACTGGATGGATGACGTTCATAGTACCAGAAGGTGATATACAAATGGCTGGGGAAGAAAGGGTCCCCTATGATTCTACTCAACAATGGACCCCGCATGCTGCACACTGTGGACCTGCCAAGCACTGCCTGCAAGTGCAATAACGGCTCAACTAACACACGTACTACTGACAAATTTCTAATTGGATAAGGCCCATGCCTAGGGGTGGAACACACATCAGGTTCTGTACACCAGGCCAATCCCCTGTGTCAGGAAAGGCTACAGGCCCCAACAGGGAAGCCATTGCAAATATGCTGTTTAATGAATATAGTATACCTACTGCGACATCTTCTAGGCATTTGTATTTACATTCATGTTTGTTTAGATGTGTCTACTTCCTTCCATTTGTCTTTACAGTAGGGGAAACACCACTGAGACAGATCAGCAGCCACATCTTGAAGATGAATGACAGGGAAGCCCAAGAAGTCACTAACTCGCCATGATACAAAAAAGATCGCCTTACATCTGTTACCCCCTCCAAGCTCAGGGACCCTTACGGAAGATTGGCGGAAAGATTGTAAGAGCACAGGACGGGTGGAGAGTAGCCTGAAAATGATTTATTCCTCCAGACTTCCTCTAACATACCATGGGCAAGTACAGGGCACCCTGGGAAAAAGGGTGGAGCCTAGTGTGACAGGAGATTGGTACGAAAGGAGGAGGATTTGGCTCCATTCTGGGAAGCAGGGAACAGGGAGCAGGTAAGCCAGCCTTCCCTGGAAAACATGGGGCAGCGGGGGACCTCTCTAGGACACTGTGGACCCCTCACGGAACTCTGTGGGGTATGTGGGCATGCGGGGACGCAAGATGAAGCAGACTGCGGGCAAAAGTGATCCAGCTCAACGGCAAGCCAAGGCGTGCAGAGCTGGGTGCCAGGTGTTCATTTCTTTCTTAGTCTCCCCCACCCGCAAAGGTATAAACTATGCAAAATTCAGATAAAGATGTGTTGTGTGGTTTATCTACCAGTATCAGGAGCATGGGACCCTGAGAGAACTCAGGTGACACCTAACTACTCAGGAGGCTGAGGTAGGAGGATCTTGAATTCAAGACCAGCTTGGGCAGCTTAGGGAGACACTGCCTCAAAAAGTAAAAAGGCAGCTGGTCATTTAGCTCAGTGATAGAGTACTTGCCTCACACGTGAGGTCCAATCTCCAGCACTGCAAAAATTACATATAAATAAAATAAAATAGCTTCAAGCTTGGCAACCTCTGCCAAAACACAGTAACTGTGTCAGTGTCTGCTACAGTTCCGCTGGGGAAAAAGGAAGCAAAGGCACAGTGTGTATTAGCTCTCTTGCCACCTAGTTCAAAGGAAGGTAAGCTCAGCAACAGTGTATCACTGGGGGAAAACCATCAATTAACTTAAATCTTGTTAAAACGATGCATAAGTAACAATAATGTAAAAAAGGACAATTGATAGGTTTCAAATACTTTAGTACTTAAAATTACACTTAGAATTTTAACAAGATATGTTAAATGAGCCAATAAATTTCAAACCATAACACCAACCATTAAACTTGTTAATAAAGTATAACAGAAATAGCAGAGAAATGGCATTAACTTGGTGTTTTCCTTTAATCACTTGTTAATTTCACTAACGTGTGTGTGTATGTGTGTGTGTGTGTGTGTTTGTGTCTACCTGTTTAATGTCTGTCTCCTCCATCAGACAACAAGCTCCATGGAAACAAGAAACCTGTCTCTTTCCAAGGTATTCCTATATACCCAGCACTTCAGAAGATTGGGATCCAAAATTTTTAAGCACCGCCTTAAAGATCACTGGGGTAACAGAAAACTTCAATAGATCACCTCAAGTTTGAGGCCAGCCTAGGCTACAAGAGACGCTGTTTCAAAATAAACAAAAAAACACCAAAAATAATTGCAACTTAAATTTCCATATAACTGATATCTGGACGTGGTAAACTACATTCTCAATGCATTCAGGCTACTTTGATCCCTTAATAATGAAAGCAACTGAAGACCCCCTCCCTATAATTCACACACCTCCAGGACTCAGGCTTTAACTTCAGCACTGCTATCACCATAAGCACTTTTGTTTACTTATTAAAAAACAAGTGCCTTTTTTATTTACTTATTTTTAAACTGAATATACCACAAAAAAATTAAATATCAAGAGTTTGAAAAAGTACTGCAAATTTTAAATTCTGAGTGAAATCAACTCAAACTGGAAGAGATAACTTTGCTTCATGAGGTAAATTTAGATTAAGAAATTATGTATCAGAGTTTATCACCTGAGACCACCAAAGAGCTCTACTAAATAAATGGTTCCCATTTTCTCTGTGTTTACATAACTTAAAGGTTTCATAACTGCATTTATAACTGCTGTCATTTAAAAAAGGTTGACTTGGCATAAGACAGAAATGCTTTTAGTGATTCAGCCTGTCTCATTTCCCAAGCTGTACACACAGCCTGAAGCTGCATGTCACACTACTTGCCGAACGGACTTACGTGGAGATACACCTGACTCCACTGAGACCTAGTATTCCTTCCTAGAGTTAAAACTGTTCATAGCAACTTCATGTAAGAAATGTTATTTCAACAAGAAGTACTAAAAAAGTTTCTTTCTGTTTCTCAGTGTTGAGGATCAGCTCTATCATTGAGCTAAATCCCAAGACCCAAATTTTTCATTTTTAAAGTTTTTATTATAGTTTTAGCTTCTTCTATGGAAAATTTTTGTTCTCATGTTTGGACATGTGTCTTTATTTACTTAACTAGATTTATATGTAATTTTTCAGAAACTCATCTGTAGAAAAGTGAGTTTCAAAATTTAAGAAAGAAAACAAACAATGGGAAGGAAACACTTACTGGTAAGAACAGCCTTTGGGAAGCACACGGCTTAAACAGCTTCCTCCACTCCACAGCGCTGTCACTCGGGAAGGTGATGGGGTACAACGTATAGTGAAATCTTTGCAGAAATGACCAGCTGTCAAGCTACAACAAAACATAAACCAATGTAGATTTGTTTAACTTTCAATTTTCTCTCCAATAAAATAGCAACAAAACAAAACAAAACAAAAACTAAAATACCACAGCATTTTGTTATACATTTAAAAGATTCTTTTGCACCATCTTCTTTGCTCTCACTTCAAATCTAAATAATAGAGTGATATGCTACGAACCCTTTACCCCCAAGGTCTAGGACAAATGGTACTTATCAGAACACATGGCTGAGGGCCAAGATCATTTTCCTCTTACATGCTTTCCTCCTTGAACGTGATCTCTAATTCTGGCATCGTCATTTCTTGTTAAGGAAGTGAAAAGGCTGCCCTGAATAAACAATGTATTTTCTACTCAAGAGGTAGGTAGAGTCAAATGACTAAATTCATACAGAAAGAAAGCGTCCTCACGGTGGCGAAGGACCTGAAGATGCCCACTCTTGTTCCTTCACCCTTTGTATCGGAACTCCTGGAAAGAAGTGGTTAGTAGTAGAAAGAGCACTCAACTCTAGGAGAGAAAGGTTACAGAATCAACATTCGTGCCCAATGAAGGACTAAAACAATAGCCTATTACCACATTATACCGTCACACTCAACTCCACACTCTTCACCTCACGTACTTACTCTGTCTTTAAAGCTATCATGTAGTTGGTCTTCAGCAAAAATATGGAACTGCAGTGGTTTGATGCTGAAGATGAGGGCGGACTTCAGCATGGTCACAGTCTCTTCTAGTCTTTCACCACAGGCAACAACAGCAAGGTGCATTTTCTCTACAGGCTGTGCTTTCAGACTGTATCTAACAGGAAAGAACACATTTCCCAGAGTTTAGCATGTGTTTGTTCCAAAACGGTATTTTCATTGTGACTGAAAACAGAAGTTAAAATCTTCTATTTAAAAAGCAAGATGTATCAAGTTACAAAACACAATGCTGAATCAAGCAATTGTGTATTTCTGTATTCCTAACCTGTCCGCTAACATTGTGCCTCACTAGGCAAAAGACAATGACTTCCTCAATTCTCCCAAGAATGCCTAGCTGACTCCACTTGTCACTCAGACTGGATGTCAAGAAAGGAGGCAGAAATGATCTGAAGGCCTTCATTCAAACACCCAAAAGCCTTATTTAAAATACACACACACACACACACACACCCTCCCCACACCTCCCTCAACCCACAATTAGATCACTGTGATACAAGGAGCTCATAACTTTATCTGTAAATATTTCAGCCTTGTGCCATGCTGATTACAAGAAATTTGTTCATGTAACTTTTTTTAGTGGCACACATTCAATTCCACTTATGCAGCAAGATACACATATTTCCAAAGGGCTCTCTCACACACTAAATCTTTTGGGAAGGAAAGATTCCTAAGTGTCTGTCCCTGCCTAAGCTAGATAGGACCCTGCCTGTAACAGAACAGCAGGGTTAGCACCAGGCTAGAAAGGAACCTGCCTGTAACAAAACAGCACGGTTAGTGCCAGGCTCAGGAGCCCCTACAGCCCTGAGAACCTGCTGTGTGCCTTTCATTCCCTGGTGTGAGCATGAGCTCCAGTCTTCTTAACGCTCTCCACACTGTTCCACTGAAGGCATTAGACAGTAGTGCCTCCTCCCCTATCCATACTTTCCATCCCTAGCCCTCATTTCTGCTAAGCCTTTCAGTTCCTACCATGGAAACCATACCAGGGAGTGTACTATCTATATACTTTGAAGATGTCTCTGCCCACCACCTGGACCCTACACAGCAAGGACAGAAAAACAATTGCAAAAGAATTGGAAGAAATCTAAAGTAAACTTCTAGGTTGCAGGAATTGATAACGAAACTTTCCTACGCTGCTCACAGGAAGCAGCCATTTCAGTTATTCTGGCCAAACGAATGGTGGGATCTTGTCAAAATCTATAAAAATGGGCTCTAGATTTAAAAATAAATTTACTTATTTTTATGTGTATGAGTGTTCCGCCTGCATGTATGGACATGTACCACGTGCATGCAATGGTCACAGAGGTCAGAAGAGGGCATCGGATCCCCTGGAATAGGGATAGTTGTTAGCCACCATTTGAGTGCTGGGAACCAAGCCCACGTCCTCTGCAAGAGCACTCAGTATTCTTAACCAGAGCTGCCTCTCTAGCCCCTGGATAATATTTCTTTACCTCTGCAGGGACTTTAATTAAAATGTAGTACTTTTGGAAGATGTGATAGCATATGCCTTTAGTCTCAGTACTTGGGAGGCAGAGGCAGGTGGATCTCTGTGAGTTCAAGGCCAGCCTGGTCTACATAGTGAGTTCCAGGACAACTGGGGCTACAGGGAGACCCTGTCTCAAAAAGACCAAAAAAACAAAACAAAACAAAAAAACACCAAAAAGGGCGGGGGAGAACCACAGCAATCTTAACTCCAGTTCCAGGGCCTCCATGGTCCAGGGTATTGCATGCATTGGATATACTTACATACATGCAGGCAAAACATTTATACAAAAAGAATTCTTAAAGAAATGTTTATCTAAAAGGACATTTTGAAGTTCTAGCTACTTTTTCACGTGACCAGAAGAAGTCTTCAGATAATTCAAAGATAGTAGAGGGTTCCCACAATCCAGTGTGGCATAAGCTGAGCATGGAAGCGTGGAGAGCTGAGCATGGAGAGCTGCACGTGGAAGCATGGAGAGCTGCGCGTGGAAGCATGGAGAGCTGCACGTGGAAGCATGGAGAGCTGCGCGTGGAAGTGTGGAGTGCTGAACGTGGGAAGTGTGGAGAGCTGAGTATGGGAAGCAGGGCAGTGGATGCCCCTGCCTGGAGCGCAGCAGCATGGCCTGAAGTAGGTAGGCACTAGGAATTCAAGATCCCTCAGACCTTTTACATGGAGAAGCAGCAGCCTACTCACCCAGAGAGAGGCATTAAGAGCGCCTGAGTTTTGCTAACCATGGGCCACAGGGATCCAGCACCTCAGGAAGGCTTCTTTCCTACCCAGCTTTACTGTTATCAAAGGCCCTTCCAGCCACCCTCAGGTAATTCCAGGAAGCTCTCCAAGTGAAGAGCTAAAATTACTACTGCCTAAGCTCCTGACTAGAAGGCTGTTTGAAGATGTGATGGTTGGTTTAAGTGTCAACTTGACACAAGGTAGAATCATCTGGGAAGGGAGTCCCAATGAGGAAAACTATCCAGACAAGGCTGGCCTGGAAGGGACTTTCTTAATTAGGTTAATGGAGGTGGAAAGACAGACACAGGCTCAGTGTGGGCAGCACCATTTCCTGGGCCCTGAACCTCATGGAAGGCAGAATAAGCTGAGCACCCATGCAGCACTCACTGCTCTCTGCTCTGGACTGGAGGTGTGACGTGACTGGCTGCCTCAAGTTTCTGCCATCATCACTTCCCAAAATGATGGAACCTGGAACTGTGAGCCCAAAAAATACCTTCTGCCCTAAGCTGCTTTTGTCAGCTGTGTTACCACAGCAACAGGAAACCAAACTAAGACGGAAGGGGACAAACCTCACTTCAGGGGATTCCTGTGATACTGTGCACTTCAACAGAAGGATGGCTGCAGAGCTCCTGTATGGACATCACTGCAGAGGCCTTCCCTGAACTCAGCTGACAAACACCCTGAGGGCTCTAAGCAGCTCAACTGTCACGCCTTTCCTCAACTGAGCATGTCTAAATATCTTACACAGATTCTCACTCATTTTCAACGAGAAATCTGAGTCTCACAAAGAGAAAAAAAGAGCTGGGATATAACTCTGTAGTAAAACACTTGCCCAGCTTGCCCTGGGTTCAATCCCCAATACCAACAAAGAAACAAGTATAACAGTAACGAATAGCATAATTTGATTAAAAACTGAATCCACAAGTGCACATAAACAAAAGGCTAAGGGGGAAAAGCTCTTCAAAAACCACCAACCAATAAATACAGAATGGGCTGCAGAGATGGCACAATGGTTAAGAGCACTGGCTGCTCTTGCAAAGGACCAGGGTTCAGTACCCAGCACCCCCATGGCGGCTCACAAATGTCCATAAGCCCAGTTCTGGGAGATCTCATGCCCTCTACTGACCTCCTCAGGCACTGCATGCACAGGTACACTTACATACATGCAGGCAAACACTCACCCACATAAAAAATTTTTTTAAATAAAAAATAAGGGGCTGGAGAGATGGCTCAGCAACTAAGAGCACTGGCTGCTCTTGCAGAGGAGCAGGGTTTGACTCCCAACACCCACATGGCTGGTGAAAACTGTACACAACTCCAGTTCCAGGGGAATCCAACCCTCTCTTCTGACCTATGCCAGGCACTGCAGGACCCGGGTACATTTACTCACATACATAAAAAATAAAAATAAAATTTTAAGTAAATAAATACAGAATGAGACAATTATCAAGATCACTACTTTGGCATTTTTGTAATAAATAATAGAGTAAAAACTGCATAGTAAGAATGTATTTGGGGTGCTGGAGAGGCAGCTCAGTGGTTATGAGTACTTGAGCACTGGCTGCTCTTGCAGAGTACCAGTTTGGTTCCCAACACCCACATCCATGGCTTACAAACTGTACCTCCAGCACTAGGGGATCCAACAGTCTCTTCTGGGCACACATAAGTCACACACATAGTCACACAACATACACATACAGCCACCCCAAAAAAAGCCAAAGGAAGTATTTCCACACATAGTACGAGACTTTGTAACATACAGACTTTACAGAGCAGGCATGGAAGACCATTGCCTTAACCATTTCATAAAATGTAACCAATGACATTAAGCTTATGACACTAGCTGACTCCTGGTGACAGCATGTGCTAAAGAACATCTCCTATGCAGAAAACCTGCCCCAAATCCTAAATCTATTCATGAGGACAAAGGCATATCCAGGGCCATTCTACAAAACAAAACAAAACCTTTGTATCACAAAGCGGAGAAGGGGTAAAGGTATCTGCAGGCAAGCCTGACTAGCTGCCCATCCCTGGAACACATGAAGTCAGGGGAGATCCTTCTACTGTGGAAGGCAGAGATAGGAGGATGAAGCAAGCCAGTAAGCAGCAGTCCTCTGCTGTTTATGCTTCCAGCACCTAGCCTGAGCGCCTGCCCTCACTTTCTTCAGTAATGAACTGTTACCTGCAAGTGTTAAGATGAAATAAACCCTTACCTCCCCAAGTTGTTTTTAAATCAGTGTTTTGTCACAGCAACAGAAAGCAAACTAGGACAAGCCTACAAGCCAGGCACAACACAGTGAAACCTGTCACGGGCAGAGAAAAGCTGGATCAACTCTTCCTTGCATTTGCTCATGGATTGTATGATGGATTGAGAATGCTAGACTTGGTGAGTACTGCTACCAGGTACAGGAGGTGAAGCTCATGGACAGAGCAGAATGATAGAACGGTGGTTAGCAGAAATGGGAAGCAGGGTACTGACCAAAGGTACACAGTGCCAGTCACAAAGGAAGAGCTTGTGATCAGAGTTGCTTTAAAAAATAAAAACCAAGTAAGTTTGTGAGGTAGGCAATATGACAGTGAGTTTGATACAATCATGCCACACCAAATACCTACATCAAACATCAAACTATGTCCTAAGTATCCACAGGCATTTGTCAACTTAAAAATTTAAAACAAAAAAGAGCAGATAATTGCAATTCCTCCATATGGATCACTTGAACTCCTGTCCTTGCTCGGACTAATCTGCTCTTTGATTCCCCACAGAAGGATTTCCCTGAAAAGGAATCGGGCATTTCATGAAATGGTGCATCCTATCATCCTCTCTTGTAACCTCAGTTCACCAGTGCAAACACTAGAATGTAAGCTCTGAAATGTGGAACCACATTAACCCAACTCAATAACATGGTGACCAGCACACAGTACAGCCCCTGGCAAACAGAATGAGAGTTAAAATTTAAATTAATCATAAAAACTACGTTAAAATGGGTGAGTCTCAAAACACTTTTGCTCTTGAGAAGGGCATCTGACGTGATGACCACATTCGCCTCTGCCTCTGTCTTGGGAAGGCTGAGAGCCACTGCCATAAACCCATTTAGTCAATACCTTCTTCATCTAGCAGTGGGCAAAGCCCAACTTCTCAGTGACTTGAAAGGTCAAGAAATAACGTCGAATCTTTTCCTCCTTCAGTAAAGATATCTTTATCTTCCCACTTCATGAGTCAATCTCTCGGTTAAAACTAATAAAATCCTTCCTTACCTGTCACATCCACCTACAAAATGTGTTTTCAGTATACTAGCTTTTTTTATTAAATTCTACTGTGTGTATGCGCGTGAATGCATGTTAAATTTCAAACATAAATCCTCCTAAAAAATTAGCATTTATCTTAATAACATCTTTAAAAAATTAGTATTTACATGTAATACTATTAAAATTAGTGATAACTAAAAGATGAGGTAAAGGAATAGCAAATCAATTATCTACTTATATGCTATTAAGTTACAGGAAAAGAAACAATGCTCGTTCTATGATAGTAGAGGCTGGTTATCTACTCTTTTCTACTCTGATCTCCCAATTAAATGTTAAGGGCCTACCTAAGAGCCGCTTCCCAAAAGCAGTTCATTCCACAAACATCAGAGGGCAGCATCCAATAGGGATTCCAGTAACAGAGAGAGAAATCTTTACACCTAACAGTAAGAAGAAATAACAATCCTGTGTGAGTACTCAGTTCAGATTGGGGACTACCAAGGAATTTACTTAGTAACAATAACTTACTGTTTTATTTTACAGCAACAAAATTCCAAATCCAAGTTGCTATGGTAAATTGAAGTTTTTTTAGAAATCTGATTTCTTCTTAGGGCACATTATTTTAAATAAAACCTTAAAACCATTAGGTTAGAATATTCTACAACTGACAAAGTTTTCCAGTCAGGAACTCTCTAAATACATTAAAATCTCCTCCCCTCTGATAACGCAGACAAAATACTAACACGTCGTAATTTTTTTTCTTCATGGACTACTACAAATATTATCCTAAAACAAAATTCAATTCTCTTCCAAAATTTTGTTTAGCCTAGGACAAAATTCCAACATCACAAATGCAGGTAGAAGGGGAATTAAGATCATTAAATACTTTCAAGTTAATCATCAATCCAAGCTACTTGCACAGTGTTGTTTTACACTGATAGCTCAGTCATGCTAACAGGCACCACTGTTTTATTATTCATGCTGAAATGGAAGAACAATTGTGGGCTTTTGTCTTAAAGTTGGTATTAAGAATGAAAACAATGAGCCAGGTGTGGTGGCCTATACCTGTAGTCCCAGAGCTTGGGAGGCAGAGGCCTGTGGACCTCTGTGAGTTCAAGGCCAGACTGGTCTACATACAGCTGGGGATACAGGGTGAATGCCCAAAAAAGAATGAAAAACGATCTCTTGATACAAAAAAGTATGCATTTCACTGTTTTTCCTTCCAAACAATCTGACATCCACGATGTGGAGGTGTGAAGGTAGAGCAGGTCACCACCACGACACTTCACGGCTCAACACCACGGAGCTTTGTTTTCCCCATAGTCAACTGCAAGTTACTACTCTAGTATCAATATGGAATTCCACATTTGCAAAACTCACTGTTTCCCACAAATGTCTAGGATTTACAGCAAGGGTCCTCAGCTTGGAGACATAATGAGGTCAGCTGCAAAGAGCTACACTGAACCTAGGTAAATGAGACTGGGCACAGGATCTGACTTGTGACCTAAGAAATTCTACACACTCTTGCACAGACGACTACAATGTTGGAATTTAAAATCACCAGAAAGTTACACCACAATCTGATTTTCCTTTGAGGGATACAGCACCACCCCAAAAGTTATGTATCTTAATTTTTAAAAAGATTAGTAAGTCAAGAAAGTAATCAGGTCCATCACAGTAAAACTATCACTTGATTAGAAACTGTCTGTGCCCCACTAGTGACGATGCTTCCTTATGTTTAAAAGATCACATTTCATACCAGGCAGACAAACAGTGGTACTGATAACAACTTACATATACACACTTCTTTCAAATTCAAGTAGACAATCATCTAAGTTTCACAGCAAACTTTTCAGATACAGACATTATCACTGTGTTACTTCAATAAATCTACAATTTACTTACAATAAACACCTAACATGTACCTTTATTCTTGAAAAAAATATAACAGTAACTAAACAGATTATTCCATCTTTCCTGTCAAACTCCACAATAGTGAGTGGAAATGGAAATGAAAACAGAAATTTCAATATTTTTAATAAAAATTGCTTTGTGAAATGAGGTATAACAACACCTCAACTTTCACTTTATTACCCAACAATCGCTTGTGCTTATTTTCTACGTCTGTCTGGTCCCAAAGTCATTTATTAGAAATACAGATACAGGAGCCTAGGCCTGGTTAATTAAGAATCAACATGGGGTTGGGGATTTAGCTCAGTGGTAGAGTGCTTGCCTAACAAGCTCAAGGCCCTGGTTTTGGTCCTTAGCTCTGGAAAAGAAAAAAGAATCAACAGATCAAGGGGCCAGACTAGTTTATGTGTCTTAAGGTCAGACTTGAACGAGAAACACTGTCTATGGAGGGACAGTAGGAGTCCACTTGGCCCCAGGTGCATATGCAAGCTTAAGCTCCCTCCTGTGGGCCCTTCCCTACTCACATTAGACCATATGGTTCGTCCATCCTTTCCTACATCTGCAATTCCTGCTTCATTCTTTGACCACAGCTTTCCAGTAAAATCTCAGGTTAAAGCCAAGCCATTTAGCCACATCCTCAGATGACCACAAAACAATGACAGGCCTACTACTGACCTAATTCACCCTCTCCTAAGCCAGCCATAGGCCTACCCCTAATGCCACAGGCATTCCACCTGCACTCTATTGCTGTCCTCTCCTCTGGGGTCTTTAAACATCTTGCATCAATTAGCCCTTCTTTCTCCTTTATCAGTAACTTCTAGACTATATTACCTCACAGAATTTTACAACCCACACCCTTGACTGTAAAAGGATTATGCAACCCTACGCATTTCCGTGTGACCTTCCAGCCTCTATAGGAGTTTACATCCCCTTACTACAGAGACTGCCCTGAAGTAATATAAGCATTGCCCCAAACGGGATTGTGAAGTCCAAGCCATCCCCTTACTCCTCCCCTGTGTAGAACTGGGCATATTCAATGTCCAAGTCTTCAGCCTGGGTCCCAGAATAAGATGTTCAGTCATAGCCATGGCCATGGCTAAGAAATAAATGCCTGTTGGTTTATGAACTGCTGAAATGTTTAGAGTTGTTACAAAAAAGTAAGGAAAAATACTATGTCATACTTCCCTTCTAGGGTATAAACTTAGGGACCAGTGGGATGATGAAGTGGATCAAGGTACTCGCCTTGAGTCTGTGGACCTGAGTTCACTGTCTGGAAACCACAAGGTGGAAGGCCAGAACCAACACCTGAGGGTGGTCCTCTAACCTGCACACAGTCCCTGGAGTGTGCATGCAGGCACACAGAAAATATAAATAAATGGGGGCGGGAGAGATGGTTCAGTTAAGATCACATACTGTTCCTGCAGAGGACTTAAGTTCAGCTCCCCAGCACCCACAACTGGCAGCTTACAACTCCTTATAACCCCAGCTCCAGGCCTCTGCACACACCTGCACTCATGTGCAAATACCCCCCATACACATTCACATAATTAGAATTAAAAAAAAAAAAACTTTAAAAAATAAAAATAAAGCTGGGTGTGATGGCCCACACCTTTAATTCCAGCACTTGGGAGGCATGGGCAGTGGGATTTCTGTGAAATCAAGGCCAGCCTGGTCTACATTAGCCAGTTCCAGGTCAGCTGGGGCTACAGGGAAACCCTTTCTCAAAAAACAAAAGTAAAATAAAGCAAAATAAAAATGACTAAAATGTATGAACATCATGGTTTTTCATATCCTCAGCGATGGGCTGCCACAGTCCACCACTTCCTCTCCTGGTTAAATACTCAGGAGCACTGGAAACATTATGTTCAGAAAGAAGATAGGCCAGGTGCTAACAGCTGTGCCTGTGGTCTCAACATTTGAGACTCAGGAGGTCAAGGTCATCCTATACCATAAAGTGAATTCAAAGCCAGTCTCAGCTACATGAGACCTTGTCTCAAAAAAACCAAAAACTGGCTGGAGAGATGGCTCAGCAGTTAAGAGCACTGACTGCTCTTGCAGAGGACGCAAGTCAGATTCCCAGCACCCACATGGCAGCTAACAACCATCTGCAACTCCAGGTCCAGGGACCTGAAGTTTTCTCTGCAGGCAATACACTCATACACAAAAACATTAAGTGCACAGGTCTACACATACAGAGAGGGCCAGATAAATCGTGGTATCTGAATGAGGTCTGTGAATTGTACAATGGCAACCTTTGGTAATAACACTGTCCTATCCTAAATTATTATATTCTCTGGATCAAGATGCTGCACTCCATGTAAGATGTGACTACTGGGGAAACTGGAAGACAGACACATCAAGGACCTTTGTAAGCGTCCCATGAACCTATATTTATTTCAAAACAAAGGTTTTTTCCACAGGCAAACATTTTCATCTGTTTAATGAAAAACAAACATATTCTTGAAAATGTCAGTACTTACAAATGCTTCAAAAATTTCAAGCTGCGCCTTTTGGCACACTCCTGTGATTCCAACACTTAGGAGGCTCAGGTGGTAAACTGTTAAACTCAAGGCTAGCCTGAATTACACCAAAACCCTGTCTCAAAACAACAACAAAATTTGTTCACTGGATTTAAAAAGTATAGACACCAACTGCAACAGCAGCTACTTGGGAGGCCGGCACAGAGGACCACTGAAGTCCAGCACAAGGCCAGTGTGGGTTACAGTGAGACCCTGAAAAAGACAAAAATAAACAGCAATAAAAATGGCACTTAACAATAATGCTCTTCACGGTAATAGCTCTCAAGCTTGAAGTTAACTGAAATTCAAAGACAGGATGTCTTTTATATTTAATTAAACAGAAAAACGGTATTTACTTTTCACTTCAAAATGCTGATGAGTCACAAGACTTTAGTAAATCCTATGTATAACTTACCTAGAAAGGGTGGTAAGGCCAGGTTACTGAAGACACTGCACGTTGTGAGCATGGGAAAAGAAGAGATGGAGCCGAGACTAAGCCAAAAACTCCATGCCACTGGATGGATGACGTTCATAATGCCAGAAGATGCTATGCAGATAACTGGGGAAGAAAGGATCCCCTATGATTCTACTCAACAATGGACCCCATGTGCTGCACATGATGGGCATGCCAATCATGCCAAGCAATGCCTGCTAGTGCAATAATGGCTTGACTAACATATGTACAATTGACAAATTTCTAATTGGCTAAGGCCTGCTCCTAGGGGTGGAACACACATCTAGTACTATAGACCAGGTCAACCCCGTGTCAGGGAAGGCTACAGGCCCCAGCAGGGAAGCCATTGCAAGTATACTGTTTAATGAATATAGTACACCTACTGGGATATCTTCTAGACATTTGTATTTACATTCATGTTTGTTTCGATGTGTCTACTTCCTTCTATTTGTCATCATAGTAGGGGAAACACCACTGAGATCAGCAGCCACATCTTGAAGAATGATGGGGAGCCCGAAGAGATCATTATCTCACTATGATACAAGAGAGATCGCCC